GAGTTGTCGTTAAGTTGTGAATGGTAGATTGATGCTGATATTGTAACGCGGTCACTTCGCTCAACGCTCGAATCGGCTCGTCGGTGTCCGAGTTCGAGAGGAGGGGAGACTCAAGCTTACGAGAACACAGATTGAAGCAAAATGTTAGTTTATTTAGAGAAAGATAGATAGATACAGAGTGCCGGGCCGGGAGATGTCGTGCATTATGCGGTGTCACTGATAGCAGAGTGCGGGACGCAAAGCGGAGACGCAAAGCGGTTGGCGCAAAGCGACGAGAAGCGCAAGACAGGTGCGGCGTGCAGTCGTCAACGACTTTATTACAACTAGCGAACTTAGAGTTAACAAGCTTATGACTAGCAGGCTTAATATTACGGTGTGGTTATAACTAGCGGACTTAATATTAACAGGCCTTATTTCTAGCAGGCTTAGTACTACGGCGCGATTATAGACTTATCTCTATCATGCGGCGAATATCCATAGCGCAGTATTTACATGCACTTATGAGCTAATGTCAGATTAGGCTAGGTATTGCGGGCAGGGCCGAGTCACGTCGAGCTCTCCCTTAGCAACTGAAATCCGGTAGAGCTGAGCGAAACCTCAGCCCGGGGAGTGGTGACAGGAGTCGGCGAAACCCGATAGGGCTAAGCGAAACCTTGGCTCCGAGAAGTAGTAGGTACGGGTCAGATCGATGTCAGGAGTCGGAGCGCAGGATGGAATTTGGTCCCCATGTCTCGGCCGGCCGGGCTTATATACTCGGCCGGCGTTCCCTACTGTGCGCCGTCGGTCCGGCAGTGGGGGCTGGTATTGCGTGGGAGGGCACCGTGAGAGAAATAGTGTTTATGGCGTGAGCGAGACAGCGTATGCGGTGTACGAATGAGTAAGATAGCGCGAGCGATGTGCGTACAAACGGGATAGATAGCGCAGGACAAGCAAGTGAGCCAGGTATATCTACATATATATATATTTCTACGGCTATATACAATGATAGTAACGGCCCTACCGTTACAATATATTGCCATCGATTTGTCATTATTAAAATTATCATTCCATGGAGTTCAATGCGACAGACATAATGCTGTCTCACTTTGTCCCGAGTTTAAATTAATTGTTGCGACTTTCGACTATATGACAGCAAATTTGAAACATTTTGCCTATGAGTCTTTTATAAAAAATTTTAACGCAATAATATGTGTAAAAAATATCGTTTATGTATATGCGTCTATACAAGTTTGCTTGGATATATAGAACTATTGTACTACTAAATATTTAGGAACTATTGTAATTTAAATTTTAACACCCTGCCTTCTTATTCGGGGGCTCGAACCATGCTTGATGCAATCTCTCCTGTCGTGCTCCAGGAAGATTATTTGTATATTTGCCAATAGCGTTGGAGGGTGTCGCCGCTGCAGTCCGACCTGCATCCATCGAGAGAATAGGACCATCATTTCTCTGGAGTACCGATGTGGGGATTCGAGAGAATACATGTATATATGTATATTGTAATATACGTATATATGTGTATTGTATTGTTGACGTGTTATTCTAAACACGTTATGATAAATATCATCACATGCCTCGGTAGTCGAAGGGATAAGATGCCTGCCCGGTAAGCAGGAGATTCAGGTTCGATTCCTGGTTGAGGTGGTAATTTTTTCGCAAAATAATTACGAGTTTTCACGACTGGCTCATGATCGGGCCCCACCGTGACGCACACCCTCCCTTCTTATTTGGGAACTATTGTAATTTAAATTTTTCATTAATCTTTTACAAGTAAGGTTAGATAGCTTAGTTTTAATTACAGATGATCTCTAAAAAGCTCATGTAAAGTTTAAAAAATATGAACTAATATAGATGTGCAAATATCTGAAACTGAACATGGCAGAGAGAGAAAAAAGAATCGCAAATATTTAAGTAATGATGAATGTAGTGAAGATGATGTGAATACATCTGTTTTCTTATGTTCGCCGAAAATTAACAAGGTTTATTATTATTAATAATAAACAAGATAAGAATACTTGAAACTTTTATTTAATTTTGTACTTACGTGCTGATTATACATGTTACTAATAATTATAGATAGTTTAATTTAAATTATCCATTTATATTTAATGTACTAAATTATTTTTTTTAAAATTTATATATTTTTTGATATACATTATAACGGTCTTACTTCCGTACGCGGATATTCAATCAGATAGCAAGATGGGAAAATGAGAGACAGAGGTTTGAGATAAAACAAATATTTATTAATAATTAATAACAAATAGTATTCGCAATGTCTTGCGAAAGTTTTTGACAATATGATTGATAGATCGAGTTGTGTGTTACAGAACTTGTATTCTTTGCGCCGTGATATATATATTTATATGCGTGTATACTTCACGGCGCGGGGTGTGCAGCGTGCGGTCGGTGTGTTTACGTGCGAGTCGGTGCGATCAGCTGAACTTTTCGAAGCACGCGGCGTGCGCGTGATAAGCTTACGCTATTTGTTTCAGCTGATTTTGACGCAACGCGGATATTTGTTTTAGGGATGCCGTCAATCTGACCGCCGGATATCAGAAGATTCGCTTTTATCCTATCGACTAAGATGAAGGGTTCGTCGAGTGATCCGACGAAACCAGAAAGTACCCTGGTATTCAAAAATAGTCGTCGAGAGTGCTCGACACTATCAGAGAGACCCTGGTGTTTTGACTGTTGTCAGGAAGAGCCTTAACGAATTTATCGGCTGTTATCGAAATATTCCTCGAACTTTTTGGAATGTGTTAGTAACGGAGAATTTCTATAGTCGGGCATACTCGGCCATGCTGGGGTGTATCCCAGTACTGCCAATAGCTTTCCCCAGGAAGTAAACGGGATGGTAAATCGTGGTCGAGTGTATTCAGCTGTGCTGAGGTGTGCCTTTCTTAATTTATTTGTTCGGTTTTGGAATATTTCTCGGCTTCTCTCGCTGTGCTCGAGATATCGGGAACGGGACAAGTATCTACGGAATTCGGAATCTCTTAGTTTCACTTAGCGCGATATTGCGCTCGTGATCCCGGGAACAGGACAAGTTCCTGTGAAAAGTGAGCCCCTTTTATTTGAGATCGGCTGCGGTATTTCGGTACGGAACGGATTCGGATTGGCCAATTTCGGGGAAGGTTCCCTTTTCACAGGGTGATAGGAAAAATCAGGTACAGGAATAGGAATCGGAGCAGGGAATGTGATTTGTTCGGTGGCGCGGTGCGGAGAGCGCAACGATTTCATGGCGCGGTATTCGGCGCGGTGCGGGGAGCACGCTCGCTTCAAGGCACGGTATTCGGCAATTCGGCACGGGAAGTGTGCTCCGCGAAAATAAACACGTGTTTGCTCAATACGTGTGTAAATTCTCCGAGATAATTCGGAGAAGCTTTCGTTTGAAATAGTTTAAAAATTGGAGCAAGCGCTAGTTTGCGACAGCAAGTCACACTCCGCCCGATGACCGGCGGTTCTCGATAGGTGATCGGTCGAGAGAAATTAATTAGAACGAAGCGAGGAGGGACGCTTTGTTACAACGTATACATACATATTTATTTATATACTTTATTTATTTAATACTAATTTATTATTTATAATTTTTTATTTTAACCTAAAATTATTGATAACTGATACAAATAAATATTAAATTTTTTACAAATATTTAGCATATGTTAATAACTCACAACAGCAGATGTCAGCATCATCTGATACTCTTATCAATAAAAGAAGTGAGTTTACTGAAATATTAACATTCGTAATATTTTTTTATATAATTTAATAAAATTTCTTATACAGGTAATTCAGAACAATCATTTATCCTTAAAATATCATATTCCTGAGTCGAGTCTAAGATGATTTTTCCTCTCTACTAAATTTTTATCAGAAGCTTAAATTTTGAATTACAATTTAATTTATTTTCATAATTCCTTATTAACTTCTTAACTTCTTATTACATGGTTACATTTTTATTACAATTTTCTTTTGTTGAACCTAAAGAATAAATTAAAACATATAAATTAAACGATTTATTAATTAATTAATTTATTCGTTTATTTGTTATGTTCGTTTATTATTTATTTATTATTATTTTATTATTATTTATTATGTTCTGATTGTCCGTTTTTAGATCAATACATTTAAGTACTTTACCCTGGGGTCGGTTTGTGATTTAATCAACCCCGAATAGATTACGAATTTTAAATTAAATTTTGTATTGCGAATCTTTCTTATTAATTCGATTGTAATTTGGATAATTTAATTCAATTTATATTTAGGAATTTGTTTGATTATTTTAATTTCAGGTTGTCTTTCCAATTCATTAAGTTTTAGGAATAATGAGAAGGGATTTTTATTCGAAATTATTAAATATATTTGATTTAATTGAAATCTTAATCTTTTTATTCTGTGATCCCCTCTTTTGGGCATGAATGCTTTTGAAAATTAATTATTTATTATTAAAACTCTAAATTCAAATTATTTAGTTGCAACACCGTTGGCTGCAAACTGGTACGCTACGCTCTTGTCAGCGACCAAATTTGGATTTAGAATGATTTTCTTGATTTTAATTAAGAAATATTTAAATTAATTAAGAAAGAAGAAGAGATTTCAGTTTTTCTATTGTTTTGTGGGTTGTTCTTGATGTATTGGACGTTATTTGGTATTTGTGGCTGTTGTGCTTGGTGGTGTGGATGATGATCGTGTTGCCTGCTTTGCGTCTCAAGCGAGGGTGTGGTCTGCTGCACTGCGTCGCCCGCAATCGGCTGGTGAAAGCTGGTTCTCAGTCCGAAGAAAGTGCCTGTCCTCGACCAGCTGTGTGGCAGACCAACGGTGCGAGTGTCGGCACCCGGCAAAGCGGAAGGTTTAGCAGCCAAGTGTCGCTAAGCGTTTAATAACGGGAGCGCAAGCTGAAGGATGTGAAGGTTGCATGCACGCTAACAATCAAGGAACTCCGAGTTAATATAAAGCCATTATATTCTCGCAAACAAAAAGAAAAATGTTACAAAAGGCTATCGGGACTTGGTTTGGGTCCCGCGAGAATAACGTGTGGGCGAGTCGGTCGCGTCAGGTCTCTGCGCATGCGCGCGCAAGCTCTTGTAGCCGCTCCCTGCACCTCTCACGAGCCCCGGTTCCTCCTCGGTGTGGCCGGAGGGTGAGTGTTGATGGCACGACCTGGGCCGGTGGCAGTCCCGCGGTCTGCGTGGCGGCTTCGGTGTAGAAGCGGCGAGTGTCACGGTGCAGCGGCCGATGCTCGTGGCCGAGCTCGATGGTGCAGAGTTGCCACGGCCTGTCCTGCTGCGCGCCGAGCTCCAAAAAGCGGCCAGGAATCGGTGGTCACTCGGGTGCAGTTGAGCTCGAGGAGGTTGAGGGCCTCGGTGCGTCCTCTTCGTGCGAAGTCGGCGGGGCAGGTCGGCGGGGCAGGCGGGGCTATCCTCTGAGGAAGAAGCTGACTCAAACAGATCCAGGAGCCGTTGCTTGAAGCGATCGGTTGGGCGCCTGGCTCGTCGTCCGGAAACTCGTCTCTCCTCGTCAGTGCACGGCGAGGGAGGTGTGCGCCCAGGCGGCGGCGTAGATGGCCGCGAAGTCGGCGGCGGCGAGCGTCGTGGTACTGGTGACTGCCGGATGGTGGGCAGCGTCGATCGTCCCGGAGATGACGAGTCGTCGTTGGGTGGCCCCCAAGAGAAGATGCTCGCTGGCGGAGATCCTCCTGTCGCGCAGCGGCTCCCCGAGTCGATAGAGATCGGCGTGCTGAGACTGCGACCTGGAGCAGGTCGCCCGGAGACGGGCGGATTGGGCGGCGTCGCTGGCCGCGAGAGCCCTTCCTGGACGTGGTGGAACTGCGGCGTTCACGGTCGACAGGAACACGTGCGTAGGAGAGAGGCAAGATGGATATGGCGGCGTTCACGGCCGTCAGAGGTAAGGCCCGAGGAATGGCGGCGTTCACGGCCGTCAGAGGTAAGACCGGAAGGATATGGCGGCGTTCATGGCCGTCAGAGATAAGACCGGTATGGTGGCGTTCATGGCCGTCAGATGTAGGCTGGAAGGGTATGGCGACGTTCATGGCCGTCAGAGGTAAGGCCGGTATGGCGGCGTTCACGGCCGTCAGACGTAAGGCCGGAAGGGTGTCCGCGGCGTTAACTGTCGCGGGGAGTACGACCGAAGGCTGGTCGGCGATTTCCAGCAGGAAAAACTGCCGTGTGCTGAGCAATGAGGCCAGGGCTAACCTCTAGAGCTCGGAAGGCGTCGCAGTGCAGCTCACAACCAGTAACTGGTTGGAGGCAACTGAGGCCAAGAGCAATGCCAAGTGCCGCTCTTATATAGTTCCGCTGCGGCATTTCAGACACGAGAAAGTTTGTCGATTCACCATCTAGTGGCGGGCGCGCGAACCATCATGCTGCGCGGGACTGTGCGCGACAGTGTGTCGGTGGTGCGGTCGCGAGGCAGTGACCGCCACAGTTTTAATTTAAAATTATTTTTATTTATTTATTAATATAGTTAAGGAGGCTTTTAATTTAAATAGATTTAAATTCTTCTAAGAGAATTATTACAAACAGAAATTTGTTATAACATTAAGAATTCAACTCTAAGATTTACTATAACGATAATGACAATACGCCCTATTTTAACTGATTTTTAACAATAACTGCGCCCCAAAATGAGAATAAAACTCTAACTAAAACTGGAACAAAAAACTCTGAAGCGCTTTCTCCGCACGCACATTTATAAGTGGAAATGATCCGCACGCACATTTATAAGTGGAAATGGTCCCTCCGCGCGAGATTCTTACCACTTCCTACTTCCATACGCATAATTAAGAGGAGAAAGGTTCTTTCTTAGAGATATCATTCAAATCCTCATTGGCAACAGGCGTAGCCTGGCACCAACAGGAATTCAATCAATAAATCAATAAATCAATAAATCAATATTTTTATCATACAGCACGCATGCTTTTATTTAGAGTTGTAAGATTTAGATAGCCGTGACAATTATTTTAATATTTTTTAAATTGAAAAAATAATTATAATAATATTAAAAATATTAAAATATTACATAATATAAATGAAAATAAATTCTATGTATTTATAATTATAATAATAATAATAAATCAAATTATACAAATTTTACAAATATATAATTTTTTATACACAAATTAAAAAATTATAATAATATAATATAATTATAATATTATTATTATTGTTATAATAATAATTATTATGTGAAAGGCCGATTGCGAAACGTAAGATAATCAAACACAAACGTAAAAAAAGACAGACATAGCTTAATAAATTTAACAGGTATATGTATTAGAAATAGATTACGAAGGCGTACAATCGTAAAAGAACTTAATATAAAGATGCTCTTCGCACCAGAACTAAACGTAAGAGAATGTAAAAATGCGTAGACAACTGAACAAAAAACAAAAACGAAAAATGTTTCTTGCATTACTTTTAATGCAAGCGCGCTTCTCTTCTCCCGCTGCCTATAATCGAGTGTCTCCTATAATCGTTCCCGAAAATAATGCTTCTCATAATAGCGCCTCTTACAATTATTATTATATTATTAGGTGTGCAAAAAAATTCTGAGCTTTTTTTTGTAAAATTCAATCTTTATTCAAAAACAACAAAAAAATATTAATCAGCGAAATATTCCCCATTTGCATCAACGACCTTTTGCCATCTTTCGAATAGCTTGCGAATTTCTTGACGATAAAAGCTCACTGGCTTCGAAGCGATAAAATCATCAATGCATTTTCGTATCTTTTCAAATCTCACGAAATGTGTATCAGCTAAATGATGCTGCAGCGACCGGAATAGATAGTAATCGGAAGGCGCCATGTCTGGGCTATACGCCGCGTGCGGGAGAAGTTCCCAGCCTAACGCAAAGATATGGTCCTGAGTCGCTTTCGCAACATGACATTGTTGAGCATTGTCATGAAGCAAGATCACTTTATAAACAAGATCACGACGTCCTTGGCCAGTAAATAGCCTCTTTTCTTCTAATGCAATCGCTCAAATTGGTCAATTGTTGTTGGTAGCAGTCTGCCGTGATTGTTTCACCCGGTTGTAACTCGTAATACAACACACCTTTCCAATCCCACCAGATACAGAGCAAAATCTTCTTGGCATGGATATTAGACTTTGGCGTCGATGTCGAAGGTTGACCAGGGTCAACCCATGATTTTCTACGTTTAGGGTTATCATAAAGAATCCACTTTTCATCGCCTGTAATGATTTTGTGCAGAAAATATTTTTTCCGGAACTTTGAAAGCAAAGTGAGTGCAGTGTCACGCCGACGATTTTTGTTGTCTTCGGACAATTCATGCGGAACCCATCTGCCTTCCTTCTGAACCTTTCCTATTGTATGTAAACGTACGGAAATGGTTTGCTGCGTAACGCCAAGCTATTCTTCAAGCTCCTTTTCAGTTTGCGCAGAGTTTATATCCAGCAGTGCTTGCAATTCGTCCGTTTCAATCTTTTGAGAGCATCCAGCACGCGGTTCATCTTCAAGATTGAAATCTCCTTGGCGAAATTTTTGATATCATCTTTTACATGTAGTACGACTTACAGCGTTCTTTCCATATGCAGCACAAATCATTGCAGTGGCTTCAGCAGCATTTTTCTTCAGATAAAACGCGAAGTGAATGGAAAATCGAATATGCTCTTTTGTTATTGCCATCGTGAACACTACTAATTTTTGAGGTTATGTGCATCAAACGCCAAACCGTTTCTGATTTTATCAATATTGTCCAAATAGACGCTTCTGACATTGACTTTTTACCATTGCACTAATTATAAGAATATAATTGTGGATAAAATAGTTATGAAAAGAGCACGTAACTTCGTGTCATGTTCTGTCTTGATTCTAATTGTTTTGACCATACTGCGGCGGGTTCACGTATGCGAGGTACGCACACAAAAGACGAGACACGTACATGTGCGCTCGGCGCTCGGCAACGTTGGGTTGGCCGAAGAGAATAGAAATATCAACCTACTCTATCGTACCGAAGCGCCGTGAATAGAAATATCGTTGTAGAAATATCAACCTACTCTCTCGTGCTCGCGACGCGTATGAGAAAGAAATAGAAATATCATCGTACTCTTTCGCGCAGTATGCCGCAGTGCGCCGTGCAATGATCCAGCGTCTTTTGATTATCGTTCATTATTGCTAAGTAATATAGCGAAAGAATTAAAAAGAATAAACAGACATTAATGCATGAAGAGAAACGAAAATCGTTATATATAATCGTATATAATCTTATATATAAAAATTATAATTGTGTAATAAATAAGAATGTATATAAAATTATTTTTTCAGTATAAATGTATAATATGTTTCGAAAATCTTCAAGAAATTCACAGTTTTGATTTTATTTACAAATTATTTACAAATTCGACAAGATATTTATTGAACAATAAATGAAATAATCAAATTATATTATTTCTTCTTTCTCTCTCCGTTTTGTTTGATATAAACAAAATATGCAAAAATATGCGCAACTTGTTAAATTTATAATTAATTATCTGAAATATAAATTTTCCATTTCTAAGAGTCGGAAATATACAATAAGATTGTAATAAGAAAATAATTTCGTTCTTATTCTCACTCATTTATTAGACTCTTCAGTTATTATAATTTTATAAAATTATATAACAGGTCATTATGAGTATGACAAGTAAAGCATATAACAATTTTTGAATTTTTTCATACATTATTTTCACATCTGCTTACTCTTTTTAATTCATACTATATATATCAACAATAACGAGCGGTGACCAGGTAAACGTCAAAGACGCTCGACGACCGCATGCTGCATGGAGCGCGAAAGAGTACGATAATATTTCTATTTCCTTCTCATACGCGTCGAGAGCGCGAGAGAGTACAACGATATTCCTATTCCATTTCTCAACAAAGAGTTCTCTTCTCAGAACATAGAATTTCAGCAGCAATTTCTGCTACTGATCTTCCGGTCCAACAATACGACCTCGTATTTCCGGACACAAGTTTCGAGGCATTGTTCACAATTCGTATCACAATAATCGCATCCGTTCAATACTATGACCACGATAAGTGATTCAATAAGAAAAAAGTAGTTGAGAAGTCGAGAAAAACAGTTGAAAAACAATCGCGGTCTCCTAGCAGCAACAATAAACAAAGAAAGGAAAAAACGCGCGAAAGCGACGCGCGGAAGCGATGCATGGTTGAGACATATAAACTGTGGTTCAAAAATAAGGCAAATTATATTCAATAACAATAAAAAGTTATTAATAAATAAAAATGTGAAAATTAAAATAAATATGTTCGAAATCAATACTATATTGTAAGTTTAAAATTTAAATTTGTAATAACATGAAAAGTATTATTTTGTTACGTCCAGCCCGAAATAATTATTTTTTTTAAAGAGAAAATTGATGGGCTAGGAAGGACGCTCCAAATATCCTCTCGCAGGTGGGCGCACTGAGGCGTTCCTACGAGTCGGATGCACTGTGCAGATCCACGAGTGCGAGTCAACATCTTGAAAAAGACGCTATGACTTCGACTGCGTGACGTGCGTCTGTCAGTCCGTAATTTAGGCAAGAGAATTTAATCTTTTTTGCCAGGGACAGGATCATGTGCGAATCTTGGGATAGGGGGAATGAAAGAGGGAAGAAATAACTAAACTATAAATAATTTGAATTTTACATATAATTGATAATTTTAAAACGATTACAAGTTTAACTAACTACAAAATCCGCGTCATTATTTCTTGTGTTGAAGTACATTTGGGTATATTTACTTAAGGTATATTTACATTTGATCAATAAAAAAGGATGTTACAAATGTTTTTTTTGTGTTCGAGATGTGTAAAGGAACGGAGATTTATACATACGGAAATTCGTATAATATACATTGAATGTTCTAGAAAATTTACGGATGTATTATTTAATTTTCGTGTACAAATTCGATTATATTTGTATGTTTGTCTACATTCTAATTATTTTTATCTTACGTTGTTTAATATATTTAAATTTATATTTTGATATCCGTGTGTGGTTGTTTCGGAGAGGAGGTCGGATTTCTGATAGTGAGGTCTAGGGGAGGAGGGGAAGGAGTCCGGAGTTCGCAAAACTCGTCCAAGGATTCCTTAGTGAGGAAATCTGGATATTGGAAATTTGTGTCATGACGCTCTGGGAAGAGTGCGCTGAAATCTGGGGGTGACCCAGATTCGGATGGTCTAATCGGGGAATAGGACGGAGGAGACATGCACAGTGAATAGGGTCTTGTGCTGGAACAACTCGTGGTTTCTTCAGCACGTGTAAAAATCTCGGAGGTCCTTGACGAGAGGTAGTTGGTTGAT